TGTCTCACAGGAAATTGGTTTCTCACTGCTTTTCCTTTAAAAATCAATTTTTAACTAACACAGCCAAATATTTTAACAAGTTGTGTGGTGAATATTATGTTCCCAGTTATTTCTGTGAGCTTCTTGTACCTCAGAGAAGTTATTTTCAGGTTTGCAGCTATGCAAATGAAAGTAACTTAACTCCTTTTCTTGCAGGGCTACCAGTTCCTACATGCATGTCTAAACATCTCATGTATATACTGTAATATTATAGCATTAAATGAAACTGCTTTAGAAGGCCTGAATGTTTTTACTTACTCTAGTCACAGTGAGTGTTCTTTACACTTGTCATCTGAAATTATTCCTGCTCTTAATCTACACAGTTTAAAAATTGTGAAGGAGGTGATGGCATTTTCTATAAGCCAGCAGAAAAGGAAAAGAAACATTAAAGAAAATGTTATTAAAAGCATATGTCATTGTCACACTCAGGCCCTGAAGGACTTTGGAGGCTGTTCTGGAAAAGGCAAACTTCATTCTTGAGAAAGAACAAAATGTTAATTTGCTGTAGGATAAAAATCGACAGTATTGGTTGAATTCACATAACTGAACGCTAAGGCAGACCTCTTTAGGTCTAAATTGAAGCTTTCCTCAGCTAGTGAAACTGCACATCCTCTCATATATCTTTGATATACTTAGTCACATAATCAAATTGTGACAGCTTGGAAGGAGGAGGACTCAGAAAATAGAAAAGCAGTTTAAAATTCTTATCGAAACAATTTATTTTTGGAAGACAGTGGCATGCATTTTGCAGAAACAATAAAATCCTTTCCCTGAGGAAGCTGATATTTTCCAATGGCTTTCAAGAAAGTTTACATTCATTGAATCATGTTGTTATTAGGAACCATGGAAGGTGGCTGAGTCCACTCTCTGCCTGATGGCCAATCTACCTGTGCCAGTTCTGAACTGCGGTGCAAGCTCTTCTTGTAGAGTCTGAGGTTGTGGCTGCACAAACATCCAGCCAATCTTCTCCCTATCCTTATTAACTTTTATTTTCTAATATTCTTGCTTTGTTTTAAACCTTGATCCATCCACTCTGGAACTGGAGAGCGAATTCATCCTTTTATCTGTACAGCACTTGCATGTACCTGCTATACTTTCATATCAGTACTGCACAGATATGTATGTTTCTCCTTCTTTTACCTTCTCCCTTCAACCTGAATTCCATGTTGTGGGATTTAAAAAAAATAAATTCTTCTAAGTCATGTATTATAGATACCTGATCATTCAGATTGTTCTTTTTTGCTCTTTCCATGGGCCACATATTTATTGAAGCCAAACAGACCATGGCTACTAAGTTTTCCTAGGGCCATGTAAATAAAGCTGTTTCACGAAGAGTCCATCCTTTTTCTGTATTGTTTTATGTGGTTTAACTTCCTCATTGCAGATCTGTGACATTATCCCCTTTGTATAGATTGCGATTCACATAAAAACAGAACTTTCTTTTTTTTGGTCACATAATTGCAGCTTTTTTCCCTGCAGAACACCGAGTAGCTCCCCTTTCCTGTTTGTATAGCTGATCGCATCTGCCGCCACCCAGTAGCAGGCACTTATCCCTGTTGAATAGAACCCTCCTTTTTCCAACCCAAACCACTAGTGTGCGAAAATCCTTCTAAACCCAACATCTGTCCTCCAGCATTCTAAAGACTCTCCGTTTGGTATAATCTCCAGTAATGTAAACATGTTTTCTGAACCATCACTGAGTTCATTAACATCCTTCTGACAACGAGCCGCTTGTATGAGCTCCCTAAATAACTTCTTCTACATTGTTTTCCTTGTTTGCTGAAAGAATATCATATGAAACCATGTCAAAAATCTTACTGAAGTGACATCCAACATGACCTTCGGTGTTTCTCCTCCGCTGATGATTCCTCTTACTTTGTTGCAGAAGAGATTAGATTTGACATCTTTTGTTCTTGACAAAGCTGTGTTGGCTGTTACTTGTTGTGTCACAACTGCTTAAAGATAGCTTGTTTACTTGCTCCAGTATCTTTTCTGTGTACTGAGGTCAAACAGATTGGTATGTAATATCCTCTTTGCTTCTTTCTTTTTCAACAACACACTTTCTCCCCAAACTATATATGTTCACTGTAAATATCAATGATAACCATTAGTTTTCATCATCCAGCCCTTTAAATTCAGGTGATAGAAAAGCAGCAAATTGTGTTTGAATAATTTTTCACTCGATTCTTTGATTGTCAAATTTGAAATGTCTTTTTTCCCCAATTATCAATAATGCCTGGTGTATATATATATAAAAGTAAAAATTACATACAAAGATATTAAAAATCTTGACTTTCCCAGTAATTATCAATAATGCCTGGTGTAAAGATATTAAAAATCTTGACTTTCCCAGTGTTGTCTATTAAAAACTTACCGGTTCTGCTTGATAGGGACATAATCATTTGCTTGATTCTTTTCCATGCCTGGTAGCATACTTAAAATTATTTTATGTTACCCCAAATATCCCTTTCTAGTTGTGTCTCATTTTCTGATGCCTTTTCTTACTTTATCCCTGAATGACCAGGCTATGCTTTTGTAGCTCCTCCAAATAACCTGACCCAACTTCTCTTGTCTGGATGCTTCATTCCTATCTGAAGCTCAGGAGATGCTTGTGACAGCCAGGCTGATCTTTTACTCTGCCTGTTTCATTTTCTGTATGAAGAATTAATTTACTTATACTCTTAGTGTTGTTTCTTTGGGGAAGTGACAGTTCTTAAACATTTTTTTTTGTCTGCATCAACCTCCCAGAACATCATGTTGGCCACTTGTAGGAATTCATGGGAACCTACCGCCATAAAATGTATTTTTTTGTGTGTTTTGATGTTTCTGCTTTTTTTTTTTTTTTCAGGGAGAATCACAGAATCTCCCTGCAAAAAAGCTGTGAAGCCATACATTTATAAATGTATACATACACAAATATATGTATACATACATACTTATATATACATGCAGACACGTGTCTATCTCGCTCTTTGTGAAGAACACTGAGAACTTAAAAAAATGCCTGGTTTTTCTGACCCAAGTATTTCAGTTAAAAAGAAAATGAAAGATGATGGGCAAGTCAGCAGAAAACAAGCTCATCATTCTACTGGAAAATAGAAGCAGTCAGAATTTCTTCTTCCTTTTCTAATAATCCTGTAAAGAATTTTTTTTGTTTTATATCAGCTATAGCTTGGAGGTGAAGGACACATATGAAGGCATTATAAATCCATCCCTGGATTAGAAGAAGGTGTTAAAAGTTTTCTTCTATTCCAGTCTTTTTATGGGTGATGTATCTTGTAGACATTTATTCTTATGACTATTGTTTATTCCGCTTCATCACATCAGGGATCTAAGAAGCAGGATTATTGTTGGCTGGACTTCCTGATTTCAGCCTTCAGGGAAAACTCCGAGCAGGTACAGGACTGCACCAGTTCATGTTGTTCTGAAGAACAGCTGTAGAAACTGAGATACAGCGTCCCACTGCCTCCCAGGGAACTGATTCCTCAGATGTTGTATCTAACACTGGCTTGGGTTTAAAGAATAGCTTTAAAATATGTTTTCATTTCCTCTGTGTCTCACAGGGGTTTAGTCTGTGACACTTGGCATGTTTTTGTATCCATCATTACAATGAACACAATCTCTTATTTTCCTTCAAAAGTTCAATATTACAGAAAGGGGAAAATATTTCAAATTAAAAGCATCATTCATCTGCATTGGTGATAAGCATAACACATTTCACTATAAAGGCTTTCTGTAAGCATGTTTCAGCATTTCTTTCTCTTCCTCTTGTGTATTTTAATTACTTGGATTAGCATATTTTTACTTGTTTCTTTCATTTGTCTTAATATTAAGTATTTGTAATTATGTCAATGACTCATTTTCATTGTTTCTAAAAATCCATTTACTGCTTATGAGAGTGCTTAAAATAAATTGTTAGTAGTAACTTGCAGTATATGCAGGATACTAAAGTGGGCTGTATGAATTTCACTGTCATACAGAAGAGTGTGAGGGGGCTCGGGTAGATATTTGGGGTTTCTTTTCTGTGGTTTGGGGTTTTTTTTCCATTAAAAGAACTCATAGAATCTCACTCTCGTGACTTTTCCATAATTTCGCATTTAAAATTTCACTTCCAAGTGATGTTAAACACTGAAGATGAAAATTGGGCACAAACTCCTCTGAATGCTGGTAGCATTTACAGTATGATTTTTTTTACCAGTTTATGCTTATGCCTCCTCGCCTCTTGGGGTCTGAATTAAAACACCCAAAGCTTACAAAATCGGAATGCATCCCCCCAAACAGCCAAGGAAGAGCTTTTCCTATTATACAGCACTTATAAGCTTAGCTGTCTGTAAAATAATTGTGTGGTATTTCCCAGGTGGACACGCACCGATGACAAGGTGCATTGTTACCCGTTGTGAGGGGTGATCGATAACCACCCGCACATTCCGCGGTCACTGGCGCAGCTCAATGCAGGGCACCGTTCACCACGTGTACGCTGCCGGTGCCGGCACCACCGGCCGCCTCAGGCTTCCCCTCAGAGCCCTGCCGTCCATCCCTCACGCCTTCTCCAGGCATTCACCGCTCACACCCAAGAGTCCTGCAAGAACACCTGCCAAGGGCTCATTTCCCCCCTCGCACGGCGGTCCCGCTCCCCGGGCGCAGCAGCCCCCGCCAACCCCGAGCTCCCTCCGGCCGCAGGTCCGGGCACAGCGGGATACTGACGGCGCGGGGGTGCCGGGCGTGCGGGGACGCCGGCGGGGCGCGGGGATGGCGGGGGGTTGCGGGGATGGCGGCCATGAGGGGACGCAGGCGGGGCGCGGGGATGGCGGGGAGTGCGGGGATGCCGGCCGTGAGGGGATGCCGCTATCTCGGGACGCCCGGGGGCAGCGCAGCCCCGGACGGTGCCGCCCCCGCCGCGGCGGGCGGAAGGGGGACGGCGGGGGGAGAGGCCCCGCGCCCCCGGTGCCGCTGCCGGGCATGCGCGGTGCCCCCGGAACATGGCGGCGGCGTGAGGCGGGCGGCGGCAGGAGCTGCTTGACAGGACGCCGCGGACCCGCGTCCCGCCCGCCCGGTGAGTGGCGGCGGCGGCGTTTCCCGCTCCCCGCGGTGGCGGGCAGGGGGAGGGAGGAGCGGAGAGAGAAAGGGAGGCGAGGCGGACGTCGCGCCCCCTCCTAGGGCTCGCACCGCAGCCTCCGCCCGCCGTGGCCGCCCGGCGCCCCGGTCCTGGGTTCCCCTCCTCGGCAGCACCATTGCGCTGGAGGCAGCACCGAGTCTGACGGGGTTGCCCCATGCTCCAGCGCCGCTCCCGTGCTCTGCGGGCTGAACTAACAGTGCGGCGGGTCCCGCGGGGACCCGCGGGTGGCCGCGTCCGAGCGCGGCTGCAAGGGTGAGAGGAGCGGGGCGGCTCTGAATGCCGGCGCTAACAGCGCGCCTCTCTCTGTCCGGGGGTGGCCGCGACTCCCGGCTGCAGGAGCTCCGGTGGGCAAGGGCGGCACGGGAGGTCCCTGAGCCGCCGGTGCCTCCGGGGCGAGCGGCGGGGCCGGCGGCGTTTGACAGGAGCCCGGGCAGGACACGCCTCCCCTCGCCGGGGCGGCCCCGCTGCCTCCCCCGCGCCGGCGGCTCCCCGTCCTCCCGCGGGGGCTGCGCCTGGTCGTCCCTGCCCGCCGACCGCCGGGGCTGGCGAGGTACGGGAGAACGGGCGTCCACTAGGAAAGCCGGATGCCTGTTAAAAATCATTTAATTCCGAGCGCTCGCTTGTGTTGGGTAAGGGGGCTGGGGGTGCCGCTTGAAGACAGCGCGGTGCCAGACGTGGCCTCTTGTGGGCCACTCGTCGGGTTGCGATGCACTGCGGCACTGTTCCCGTTTTCTTTACGGTTAAACTGTGTATGTGGCATATATTGATTGTTGACTTAAAGGGGATATCTTGCACGGGGAATCATAATTTTGGATGGTCCAAAGAAAGTAGTTCAAGTATGGAAAGTTCTTTGCCGCGTTGTGTGTCATTGTTGTCTTTAGCTGCTAGGCTGACCTATAAACACGTTGTAGTGCTGTAGTGTGTATCAATATTCAAGTTAAATTTTATGCTCAATTATTCTTTAGACGTGAAGGCATGTTTTAAGTGTAAATACAATTTAAAGTTGAAGTCTTTCCCTGTAGTAATTTGCTGTTTCTCTCTGATGAGTTAGACTATAAGAGATAGCAAAAAATAAATAAATCTAAAAGGTTTAATGAAAATGGGAAATGCTGATATTTTATTGGGTTTTGCTAATGTAAACTTTGCTTGTGACTCATGCATATCCTAACAAGGTGATTAAAACTTAAAAAACATAGACTTTGTAGATATGACAGTAGGTTTTCAGAGCATGCTGTGTCTGACTTGTAAACAGATCTTCAAGTTTGACTGGTTATGAATTTATTATAATACAAAGTAACAGTCTTAAACCTTTGGATTTTACGATCATTCCTGCTTCCCCTTACCCTTTGGAAGTGGCAGAGCAGAGCAGTTGGTGAGGCAGTCGTGCAGGGTCTGTAACAACTGCAGCCCCGGTGCAGATGGGAGCAGTATGGCAGGGAGGCGTTCGCGGCGTTCCCCTTGGGTTTTGGGCTGTCACGTTAACATTACAGAGCGAATAGGGGAGCGAATGCACTGTGCTGTACCAGCTCTGCACGGGCCACCACCGAGTGCTGCTCAGGCCACAGCAGCCCCTGTGAGCGGTGGCACTTACAGTGTGTCCCCAGACACTGTACAGCCAGGCTGTGCTTTGGGGGGCAGGGCAGCTGATTTTCTCCCTTGGGGTACCATAAAATGTAAGTACTACTTAAGGATGATATTACTTGATATGATGTAAAGAAGAAGTGCATTTGAGACCCTTCTGTTAGTATTTCATTTACGGGGGAGTCACACAGTAATGCAAGTGGGAAGCTGCAGGAAACAGTGTATGGTGAAACTGAGGTTGAGACTGGGAAGTGTTTGTATGGCTTTTAACTTTAACGTGGTCTGGTCTTGAATATGAAAATAGAGTTTACTAATTTTGTTTGAAACTCAGTTGATAGAGTTGATGCTCTCTTTTTCTGTTTGATGTAAATAGGTAGCAGTATTTGTGTGATATCTTTCAGGTTGCTTGGTATTTTATATTTTTGTAGCAATGTTCAGATTCAGCAAAAACGAATGTTTGCTTTTCATGATGCACTGTAGTAAAAGTATAAACTACTTTCACAACAATTAGAGGCCACGTAGATATGAGAACATAACGTGACTAGATTGTTCTCAACATTCAGACATATATAAGCCTTGATGTAGGAATTTTAGGAAACAAGCAATGCCAGTACTTTAAAATATTTTTCTTTTGACTTTGTGTGTTCCTACATTGAATGTACAGATGACTTTTTCGCCCCCTTTGCTGTGACTGCCATTGCTGTGGCCAGATAGTGTGCTCTTAAGGCAGAGGCATTGTTTTCTGGAGTAGCTGCTTGAGTTCAAAAGAGGCATTTTGCTAGTGTGAAATTTGTAATACTGAGCTATTATCTGTCTAAAATCTGTGCTAAAATGCAGCTTTACTTGAGAGAATGTGAAACTCTAAGCAAACCTAGATAGCTGCTTGTGCCTGTTGTACATAGGTGTCTATTTTTGTTTTCTTGATATTCCAGTGGGATCGTGAGCTGTGAGTGAGTCCTGTTTACTCCCTTTGGTGAGTGAATGTACAGGGACAAATGAAGTCTTCAGCAATTATCCACTGCTACTAAATAGTGTCACTAACAGGAAATGGCATTTGTCATTAACTGTTCAGGACACTGCAGCTGCCTTTCTTATTTGTCTGGATACATCTGCCTCAAACCAGGATGAGTGAAATACATAGTTATTATTTTCATGTTTTAAGGAAATCTTTAGAAATATCATTTGACAGTCTGTTGTAATATTTTTAAAGTGTAAATATAGAACAAATTACAGGTAGGGACCAGGACACTGCTTCAAGGAGTCTAGACAAGGGAGGTTGTTAACCAATTTTGTGAGCTTCACATCTGCAGGGCATTTAAAGTTCTGTTCATTCCCATTTGAAAGAAATAGCCTTAGGCACCCAGCCTTAGTGCTGATGGCTTTTTTCAGAGATTAAAATCTTAAATGTAAAGGACTATACCGTTTGTATTCTTGAAAGTGTAAGACTTGCAACATAAATTGCTCAGAATGAGATTTTTCTAGCATGTGGGAAGAGCCAGAAAAGCCAATATAAAATTGTCAAAGTGTAATAGAGCAGTGGGTAAATAAGAAGCAATGGAAATGTTAAATTTAAAGTTCCAGAATATTTGTTAACATTTTCATACAATTTGATGAATAATTCTTTTTTACTGTGATTTGTGCTTTTGGTATATGAGGGTGCTTTTCCTAGAAAATTTGTACATCTTCTTTGGAGATTTCTTGTAATGTCCATCTGCTCCATAATTGTTAGGAAGCTTGAATATTAGTTATATGCAGTTAAGTTTATTTTTGCATTATAATGATGACTGATAATGTGTGTATGAGCGGCTTTCCTTACGATGTCTAAGTGGAGGGGCAATTAATTTGTTTGAGGTAAAGTCGCTGAAAAGTGAATCAGTTAAGTATTACAGTGAGCTGTAGAGCTTTTTAAGAGTATGCTTCTGTGTAAGTACTATTTTTGTACCTTCATGCACCTGCTGGCTGACTTGGCGTGTGGGCAGTGAGGGCTGAGGGTGTGCACCCAGCTGCTGCTGCAGTGCTGGCCGCGGAGCAGCAATGCTGCCTCGCTCCTGGGAGCAGCAGGAGATGACTTGGTGACTCACCTGCTCAGTCCTGGTGTGTTTGTGTAAACTCAGCACATTGCCGAAAACTCTGTGTTCTGTAGCTGTGATCTCTTCAAGTAGATTATCATCTTTTGGGATGGGAAGGGTGGCTTCAGGTACCTGAGCCAACGGTGAGCAGGCTCCCCTTTTATCTGGGGCAGATTTATACACAAAGAGTAACTGGTGCATAAATGGTGGTGATGACTGTCACAGGTACTTTTATCTCTTCCTTGTTAGTCTTTCTGCTTGGTCAACAACGATGTAGGTCTGGACGAAAGTCAGGAGCTGCCTTATAACCATTCAGAAAGCAGCAGCTGTCTCTGTTACCCAAGTTATCACTTTTATTTATTCGGGCTTGCTCTGATGGTTTCTTTTATATACAGTGGACATTTGCATAAGTGCACACAACTAAACCATTTGTAGTAGAGGGTACATAATGTGTTACACCCTTAGCACTCTGTGTCTGCAGGGATGTGCTGTCTACGTGCCCTTAGCAACTCTCTGCCCAAGAACCCTGTCAGAAAATATAACAGCTTTAGTTTCTATATCTTTTGGATAGGACCAAATTCATTATTTTCTTACCTTGCATCTAAATAAGGTACGGATTTCTTCTTTGTGATGTTAAGATCCATGTCTCTTTTGTTTCAGCAATCTTGTTTCAAGACTGGTTCATACTAAGGCACCTTCAACTAAGGCACCTGCTTTCTGGGTAGTGGTTGACCAGTTTGGATCCAAGCTGGTGCAATACTGATGCTTATTGTTGTTCTTATGTGGTGCTCTCTTTCTGCTCTTCTGCATTACTTGCAGAGCCTAATATCAAAGTGTTTCTGAAATACTACACCTTTAGCAGAATTTTAGTGCTCTTTCATGTGTTTTAGCAGGATGATAGTCTTTTTGCTTCACAGGTAGGATACTGTCTAGATATCTTATGTCCATACTAATCCTAAAGTACATTTTCTTTTTCGGCTTTGTAAGAATAATGCTGTTTCCAGTTTAAGCATGAGCAGTGTTTTGGGCTGATTACTGGTTTTGGTTTTTTTTAAAACCCATAAGTGGTTTATATTCTTAATATTTGTATGTTGTCATCCAAACCCAAGTAAAACATTGTATTAAAGGTAGATGTGCTGTTGAGATAATTTTATTCTCAGCCTTCAACTTCACAAATCAGGTCAAATTCTATTTAAGATACCAAGGGAATTCCGTCATTTTCCTTTCCATCAATTTTCATAAAAGGGATGAACTTCTTTGATGGAAATCTCAGTCAGTTGTCTTCTC